GTCCGTGACATAGAAGGTTTATCAACCAACCATCCTGCACTCAAGGATTCTACTTCTTTATGCCCTGCAAGCCCAGCCCCTGAGACGGTTGAGGAAGCTTGTCAACAGCACTCGTCGGTTGCTGTGGCCGGCAGTATATCCTCGGGCTCAACTCCTCCGAAGGTGGGAAAACTTGATCAGACGAAGCCAAGAGCGGAGAGAGAAGATGGCGGGGACGGTGAAGGCGTCAGATCTGGAGTCTGCACATCGGAGCGCCAGGCCCCGCAGCCCGACGTGGAGAATGTATACGAGAAGCGGCTGCGTGAGCTGAACATCTCTGGCACTGTGTTGGCTGTTTGCAACCTCGAGGACCTTCGGGGGGAAGTGGGTATGAGTTTCGGGGATTGGCAATTGTTTTACAGTTTGATCAGGCACCTAAAGCAAAAGTCAGAGACAGGACGGAGAAGCAAGCAGAAGACGCCCGTCGAGACGACGCAACCGTCGGTGGTTCTGGGTCAGGCTCGGGCTGTAGTCGCCGAACATGGTGCACATGTCGACGGGCAACTTGGGCCATCCGGCCCTAGAGCGCCCAGTCCGACGAGCCCATTCGAGGCGACTACCGTTGCCGCAGCGCAACTTGTCAGAACCAGCGGTCAGCCTCCTCCGCCACGCACACATCGGTCGGGCCAAGCAAGAGGGAAGGCGTCTGTAGCCGCCAGCGAAGAAGCCAAATCGCCGCTAACCGATGGCAAGGCTGGCCAATCGAGCCGGCCAACGCCTCCTTGCGGCGAAGAGGGCGGCAACCTCGGTGGCCTTGGCAACCAGGAGGCCGGTGAGCCGGACCGGTCGGGCTCCGGTCGGCCCAAGCGGCCACCGGCGGCATTGGTACCGACCGCCAGTGTGTCCTGCCCGCCTGGCCTCTCGTTCTCACCATCGCCACCGTCTTGTCAGTCGCCACGAAGCGCCACGCTCCCGCCGGACTCGAGCACCGCCAAGTGCCCCTGCCATCGCCGGTCGGCACTGACGGCCGAGATGACCGGGCCGTCCTCGAGTCGGCAGCGCAGGGCTCGTAGACGGCCCGGCGCCACTGCTCGGTCGCAGGTCGACTTGCGCACTGCCGATGAAGACTCCGGCCTGATGAATGTGTCACCACGGCCGGGCGCCATGACGACTCCGGCCCAGTGGAGAGGTAAGTGTCGTCAGGCGAGGGAAGATGTTGGTCTCGGCCCTGACGCCGGGGGCAGGGACAAAAGCGCCGGGACCGGTAGAGGCAGCGGCAGCGGCAGCAACCTTTTCGGTCACAATTATGCGTTGACAGCCGTGGCACGAGGAGGACTCGGAGGCGCGGCTGTTGCGCATCCGCTCTACCACAACGCGGTACGCTATTATCCCCACGCTGGACACCACCCCTCCGCCGCAGCGAGGCCCCCGCTCCTTTTCATGCCTGGCGTCGGGCATTTTCCCGGATTGGGCGCCTTACATGCTCACCCGCATCCCCATCTGCATTCTCATCCACACGCGCACGCTCATTCTCATCCGCTTTCCACGTCGCATGCACTGGTTCGAGCGCCGCCCCAGTCGCCGCGAGCACAGAAGCTTCGACCAGATGATGAGCAACATCATCATCATTTCTATCATCATTACTATGGCGATGGAGCCCAGCAGTCGTGTCTGGCCAGCCAGGCGCCCGATGAGTCTCAACCGCCGGGTGTGATGCTGCTGCAGACATGCAATAAGCATCGTATTCGCGCCAAGCCGGCGGATGACTGTGCTGTTCGTGGAGCGCATGAAACGCTCGTCAACATCGGCACCTCGGGGCCCCGAGAAGGGGGCACCACCGAGAGCACCGGTACACTGTTCTCACAGACCACCAGCCCGGCCGCCGTCGAAGAGACGGGCAGTCGGCCGAAGGGTAGAGTTGACCGACCCTGTCAACCCTATTACTGGTACTCACTTGAAGCGAAGGTGGTCCGCAGCGAGCCCGCTTCGAGGATCCCGTCGCTGCCGCACTCATCTTCAGAAAGTAAGTTGAGCGATGCTGCACTGCCTGAGGGCAACGAAAGCAGTACTGGCCGCGGAAGCAACAGCCCCGGCAGCATCGGCGATTATGATGATGGGGAGGATGCGGAGCTGGAAGACGAGGAGGCCGAAGAAATGGAGGAAGAGGAGGAAGAGGAAGAGGAAGAGGAGGAGGAGGAAGAGGAGGAGGAGGAAGAAGAGGAAGAAGATGAGGAAGAGGAAGAGGAGGAGGAAGAAGAGGATGAAGAGGAAGATGAAGAAGAAGAAGAAGAGGGAGTAGAAAAGGCCAGAGGGCAGGATGATGAGAGAGAAGAGCAAGAGGACGATCTCGAGATGGAAGAGGAGGAGGAAGAAGAAGAAGAGGATGGGGAAGTGGAAAACAGCGATGTTTCAATTAGTCCCAACTCGACCACTGTCGACCATTCAGATATTGATGGTGGAGCTTCTACAGAAGTAATCGAGGTAGAACATGATGATGAAGATGATGATGAAAGTGAAGATGTTTTGCAAGGAGAAGAAGAGATGGAGACCGATACTGTAGCGGAGAATTTAATTGATAACCTTGAAGAAGAGGGAGGATTAGAAGTAGGAGATGATGATGAGGAGGAAGAAGAAGAGTCGGAGGAGGAGGAGGAGGAGGA